CTCGGCCCGCCGTAGAGCTCGTCCTAAATCCTTGCGTGTCGGGATGCTCACACACACTTGTCATGGCCGCTCCATGCACGCTGCATCATCTTGGGCTGCAGCCTCGATAGCAGACCCGAGCCCTTCTTCTGGCGTCGTGCTTTGCAGCGCCGCATCGGCCGCAGCCATAGCTGCCTGAGCCGGGCAATCCGCTGAAGCGACTCGTCTCTGATGTTGGAATGCTTGCCGCGCTTTCGTCGGGCTGGTTTCAGAGGTCTTCATTTAAGAATTTAAGAACCCGAAAGTCTTGATGATAATGGCAATCAAGCCAATCAAGGAAATGATAAACAAAAAATTGGGCCGGCGAAGACCCAGATAGTTGGGAAAGCTTCAGAAAGGTTCATGGTTTCGGACATAAACGGTTGTCAATTTGGGCTCTTCCCTTTTGTGTTGTTGCCCCCAGGAAGTTTGGCGCGTGCAGCGCTGTTTTAGGCTCAAGCTTGCCAACCCCGAATTGCAATGTCTGGGCTCACTCTTCTTCACATGTCTCAATTGCGGCTTGTGGCGCAACTTGAACTCCACTCGGCCTTTCCATTCTTTCGGGTCACTGGGCCGGGTGTTTGCCAAGGTCAAAAAATTCCTGTCCCTGACGGCGACAGTCGATCCCTCATTGTACATCTTGTTTGTCACTCTGTCGCCGGTCAATCGGGACATTTGCGTTGGCAAAGTCTTGGAGGCTTCGATTCGAGGATCGACCAGTTCCTGTCTGTGCCGGATCCATTTCAGCTGTGGCTCATTCAATTCCCACGCATCATACGTGTAATCATGAGCATCTGAGCATTGTTTATGCACTGTGCCGCAGCAATTTAGCAATCAGGGCACCAATCTGCTGAAGATAGGCAAACGAGCTGTCATGCAAATCCGACATGCGCAGAGAGCCCCCAGTGCACCAAGCTGTTGCTCCGTTCCCGACAACACATCAATCAAACAACTCGCTGCCAATCTCGCCGCATCTACAACGGCATGCGGAATGACAGTCGGTGTCAGGTACACCAACGTACCCTGTCGCATAATCGGAAGAGGGTTTCCAGTCGAGTCAATCAAGGCAAGAAAGCCTCGGGCCTCTACAGTCCAAAAGTCCTGCGGCAACAATCGGCAATACTGACCAATGGAAACGGCATCCCAGTACACGTGTAAAACTGTACGCTCAAGGAATGGCAGTTGCTACAGTCAAGCTGCACCATAATCCTGCCTTGCACATCCGATGTCTTCCCAGACAAACTTCGCAGTGAGGGCGCACTCTCATTCAAGCGCAACGCAGGATATTCCGGTCAACAGTTTCCACAAGCTCCACAGTATCCACGACTTGTCGACTCAATCAATCTGTCATCAAACTTCACAGGATCAAACTCTGGCAAATCTCTGGGAGGAACCGGGGGCACTCCGGCACTCAACACGCCGTTCGGCAGTATCCCAGCCTTCGCACCTCGGTACAGCTGCTGCTGCTACTACTACTACTACTACTACTACTACTCCTACTACTGCTACTACTACACTGACAACTACAACCACAAACCACAACCACAACCAACCAACGAACTAACTAACTGACTGACTAACTATCTAATACTACTGCTTCGCCGACCATTACACCTAACCCTAACCTACCAAGCCGACGCGGCGCTGAGTCGGCCGCCCTACCAATGCATGACTACCAAGCCTAAGTCGCCCTACCGCCTAGTAGGTACGACGACGGCGACTACTATTACTGACTAGCTGCTAGCACCTGCAGATATTCCCTTCTATCCGCAGCCGATGATAACTATACTATGACTATACTACTATACTGCTGCTGCCGCTGCCTCCACGCCATTGCTCTGCACTGCCGCTGTTGTGGTGCATGCTGGTGCTGCTACGCGACGACGACGACGACGACTACTACTGCTACTACTTCTTGTTTTTTGTTGTTTTTTGCTTGCTTTTGCATTGTTTCTTGGATATGAGTACTTTGTTATACTTGTTTTTTGTTAATTTTGTTTATCTGTTGTCTGTTTTGTTTTGGCCTGCTGGCCTGATATAGCTGTTTGTTTGTTTTTTGTTGTCCGCGTTCCATATTTGCTCTTTTATTTTCATACATCCTGATAACTGAAGGATTCGTTCTCTTAAGTCTCAAGTCTTCATGCTTCCAACAACTGACTCTGACGCGACGGGCCGAGCCTGGAGATGTTCGATTGCAGCGGAACGAGCTTCTGCGTCCTCCATAGCTGGGCCGGTGGAGCTCCATTGGGGGGGGGGGGAGACTGATCGCTGTGTCGATAAGCTGTGGGTCGCAGGTATCCTACAGTCCTAGAGTACGAGTAGTAGCAAGCATGGTACGACCGGCACCCTTCGACTGCAGCAACCCCGAACTTGGAGGAGCTCCCTGTTGCTGCATAAACCTGGCACCATCAACGCACGGTATGCCCGTCAATGCGGACTCCACAAACACCCTGGCTGGCGCAGGCTTCCAATCACAGAACAGCCTTTGCTTAGACCCAGCTGGCGAGGTGAAAGCGTTGCAGCCACAGGAGTTAGCGCAAGGATGATTCTCTTTGAGGGCAGAAAACGACGCTTTCATGGTGTTTCCCTGTGGCGCCCTCCCATTACACAAAGAGCACAAAAAAGAGAGCGCCTGTGCCCGTGTCTGCATAAGATGAAGGTGGCCCCGACCCCCCCGAGCCCGTCCTGCAGCTCGCGCAAGCGCTCCCTGGCCTTCCTCAAAGGGTCCACGAACCATTCGGATAGAAGACAACATATAAAACAAGGGGGCAGTGAGAACTCTGTGAGTCCAACAAAACATCCAGGAGCACTGGAGCTGAGAACTGCAGCTGAGCATCTCCAGCAGCTCAATCCCTACTCCCGCTGCTTCGGCATCCTTCAGTGCCTTCTCCAGAACCTGCCACTCCACATTCAAAAGCAAACCCCGTTTCGGAGCCGCACTCTGGGTCCGGAATTCATGGCCTCAACATCTCGGCCCGCAATGGCTTTAGACAAAGCCTTCATGCTTAGCCCGTAGGCGCTCAGGCCCACATCATCCTGACATGGCGGCGTCTCTCAAGACTCTCCCATGGTCTAAAAATGGTCTGTGACAGGTCTCTCGGCAGGCCGACCTGCGCGGCAGTGAGATTCTTGAATTTCCTGTCATCACGGGTCCAAAGGTCCGAACTCTGGCACGTGGCTTCAGTTCAACGAAAAGATGACCTGGTTTGTTCAACACCAAGATTGAAAAGGCCGGGTGCGCTGTGCAGCTTGCAGAATGGCTGTGGCCTTTGCCAGGGCTTCGACCTTGCCAACTGCTCCCTGTGTCACAATGACGACCCGTACTTGCGAGCCCATGCCGAGCTCCGTCACTGACAAAGCCTAAGATCCTGGCAGCCGCAGGGCTTCTGGCGCTGCCTGCGCGCCAGGTGAGACTTTGGAAACAGAAGGGACCAGTGGCATGGCGTGGCGGTCTACCGTGCAGCATAGAGCATGGTGCGAGTGGCACCTTCGCTGTGGAAGGAAGGATTGAAGGGCAGGGCAGGCCTTGTCTGCTTGCAAGTGCGTGGCTCGGAGTACAGGTCGTTGCCACATTATATAGTACACTACGACCGTCTTCGAAGCCGGGCGCCGGGCAGAGTTTTTTTCGGAGGTGACCGCAGTGGAGGTGGCGGCAACGGTCGCGGCAGCTGCAAGTGTGAGGAGCCTTGACAAAACACATCTGCTGAACTCCTCGAACCGAGTGCGTTCAGCTGTCAACAGCGCTTGCCTTCAACGAGTGCCTCCGCTTGTTTCTTCTCCTGCAAAGCTCCAGTGGCGGCTGCAACCAACAAGTCTCGGGCGCGGTGCCTCCTTGGCCTTTCTACGCTCTTCCTTGCGCTTCTTCTTGTCCTTGCGGGACCTGCAGCAACAGTTGCCACACGGGGTCGCTTTGCACTGCCGGGCTGCGGACTTCGTTGTGGACGGCGGGCTGGTCAGAGAAGCCTGCAAGCACCAAGAGACCATGAGCGATTTAGCTTGCGACAGTTTCAAAAGGAGTCAACTCCAAGTTGCCTCGCTTTCCTCGGCATCTGCCTGGTCCCTGGCTCGACCGTTCTCATCGAAGCCAGGTATCATGTGGGCTTGACAGGTGACCAGCCTGTTGTCTGGTGGAGGCTCGATGATTTCAGGCCTCTCACGCAGCAAACAGCAGTCTGGGAAGCCATGCTTCTGCTGAGATGCAGGCTGCTGCGGAATGTCCTGGCAACATCCGGACACCCCACGACACGAAGCGATTCCAAGTCCGTCCTCGAAAGCTGCTAACCCAGGGGACCTGCCGTCTCAAGAGCTTAGGGCTTAGGGCTCGCGGCTCCACGGCGACTTCCAGCGGATGCTGGGAGTCACATGGAGGCACTGGGGCCTCTCTTTTTCAGAATGATCCGGAGTGGGCGGTGCCTGCAACAGGCTGCGCAGTGCTGAAGCCTCGTAAGAGACTGCTGGAGGCCTCCATCTGCTCGTTTAGTCCGTCGATGTCCGTGCGCGGGGTCAGCTCGCCCTGCCTGCGATGAGCCAGCCAAGTCTTGTTGCAACACTGCCAGGCATTAGGCATTGTCAAATGGCAACGCACATGGCACATGCATGCTTGAATGAGTCGGGCACGGTTCTTCCTCCGGCTGCCCTCCACCCTGATCACCCAAGTGGGTTTACGACATGACACTTGCACAAGGCAGCATATTAATCGTGTATCGTACGATGGCAAGGCCGACAGCCTCTTTGCTCACTACCTCGTCGTCCCCGTCCACGTCTTCAACCTTTGCATCTGGTAAGCTCAGCATCCGCCGAATGTATCTATGCCACACTGACCTACACGATTTCGGAGCAGCTAGGCCATGGCATCTTCTCCCTTCTGCTCAGGCGGAATGGCCGATACCTTCAAGACAAGTCAGACTTGCCAAAATCACTCAAAGACCCCAAGTATCCCAGGCCAGCCTTGGAGTCTGGCTGGCGACTGCATCTCCTTTTGATTCTTTTAATCAGCTTCCTTCGAAGACCCTGAGAGCAACTTGACAAAGTAGCTTTCAATTTCTGAAGTTCTGGCTCCAGCGTGAGGTCCAAGCCGGACACGCCAGCAGCGGTGCCACACAGAGGCAAAGAAGCACCATGACAACTGCCACGGCCACGCCCGCTGCAGATTGGCTCTCCTCGCGACCGTCGAGCCAAGCCCCTAGAACACGAACAATAACCTGATGCTGATGATGATGATGATGATAACGATGATGATGATGATGATGTTGACGACGTGACGATGTGACGATGACGACGAGGATGATGGTGATAATGATGACGATGATGCGATAAGGATGACACTATGCTTCCCGTTCGTGCTTCGTTCTGTCATGACGTCATGACCCAACGAACGCTTGAAGACCAAGTCCCTGCAAGCTTGCAGCCTGGCCTCTTCAAGCAAGGGTACAACGCCGAGCTGGATGTTGATGCTGCCCAGGGCTGGAAGGAAAGCAAAGCACCTCCCACATTTCTCAGACTCTTCAAGCTGCAAGCTACACCCCGAGGGCACCGACAAGAACCGACCGCGAAAAGGACTGCAATTGCACCCGAAGGCAGACCAGGCTTGGCAAACTTGGAGCGCCAGTCTCATGAAAGTATCTGACTGGGCTCACGCCTTCCGTCCGAGGCGGCCATGCACAAGCACACCTGCCAGTCAACCAGTACTGTTACTGCCGCTAGCGGGCGCAAGTTGCGGCCTGATGCGTGCCATCATCAGGCGTCCCGTCTTCAAATTTGCAAACCTGTTTCGCGAGAAAAACTGCATGAACATGACGTGGCCATTCTCAGGCGTAGAGACAACAGTTTGCAGCCATAGCCGCAGCCGTGCAATACTCGTGCAGCACTCGCGACGCAGCGCTTTGCACGGTTAGACACTGCCACGTTCCACGCGGATTGCCAATTCAACCATTTTCAACCGCTTCCAGCCTGGTCAGTAGCCTCTGTGAGGCCAGGGGTAGTGGAGCATACCCTGAGCAGCACACTGATGCACGCCACGCGTGCTTGTCTTGGATATTCGTCACACTTGTCAGTTAAGGATCATCTTGGTCCTGACTTGCAGAGCACATCTTTCTCGGCCCGTCACCCCCTCGCGACAACCGTAGAGTCGTAGCGGCAAAGACCTGTCAGCGCCAAGATCTCTTCGCCCACTACAAGATGGAATCAAGGTCTGACATGATCTAATGCAGGCACTGCCCGGCATGGTAAAGCTGAACAGGAACGGAAGCGCGTTGACCTCATGGAACCGGCTTTTCTGGTTTCATGCCTTGCCCATCAGCCGGGCCCAAAGCTGCGCCTGCAGGAAATCGGAGTCGGGTTCTCCATGGCAGGACGAATACCGGGGCCTTCATCCTTGATGAGGACTCCCTGCAAGTCGCCGGTCCTTGGTGTAACTCCGACATCTGACCCCCGATATTCACCCCGGATTGAAGGGCCCCGGCAGGTTGCTTCCCGTGAGATGTAGCTCAAAAGGTGCGCTTGCGAAAGGCCTCAAGCATGACGTCTCATTCGAGTCCCTAACAGTGTCTTACAGCCAACGTCTCACACTGCAAGGCAGCCTTTCCGGGTCGGTGTGCCAGTCGTCCACCGTCGCAGCACAGGGAGGACCCGTGCAGGGGCGCTCCTCCTGGCAATGCAGAGTAATATTATATATATATATATATGCTACCCC